TTTGATTACTTTTTTTTTTTTTTTTTAAGTAGGCTCCACACCCAGTGCAGAGCCCAAATGCCTCACGACCCGAAATCAAGACCTGAGCTGAGATCAGGAGTCAGACGCCTGACTGAGCCACCCAGGCGCCCCTTGATAACTTTTAAGCCTAAAAAATCTTTATGCTAAAGTGGCCCATCTTGGGGCAGCCTGCCCTTGGCCCCTATAGAATCTACCCAAGCAAAACAAAAACATATGTCTACACAAAGATTTGGAAGCAAATGTGCCTACTACCATTATTTATAATAGCCAAGAACTGGAAACAATTCAAAATCTATCAATTAATGATGGATAAATAAACTGTGGTATATCCATACAAGGGAATATTATTCAGCAATAAAATGGAATAAAATACTGATATATACAAATAATATGAATAACCTCAAGAACATTATGCTAAGTGATAGAAACCAGACACAAAGAGCTACATATTATATGATTCCATTGATACGAAATATCCAGAAAAGGCAAAAGTATAGAGACATAATGTAGATTAGTGGTTGCCAGGGGCTGGGGATGGGAGTGGGTTTTGGCTATAAAAGTGTCCAAAGGAACATTCTGAGGCAATGGGAATGGGGCAAGATAATAATGGTTGTACAACTCTATAAATTTACTAAGTCATTAATTATGCACTTATAATGGGTATATTTTATAATATGTAAATTACACTTCAATAAAGCCACTTAGCAAACAGGACTATGGGCTATTCCTTCTCACAGTCCTGGAGTTCCTGACCACATGGTGATAACCAAAAGTATCCAGCCCACTAAGAGATGACAGGAATGCATAAAACACTGGTGAGGAGTACAGCTCTGGGAGATATACAGATGCTTCCGACCCTCTGCAAACCTTCATCTTGCAAGGGCCCAGACATCAAAATGGTGCGCCAGGCTCCCCCTGTCCTATTTCCTCACACTCAGTTTTCTTTACCCATTAACAGTACTCATTTCATTTTTTTTTTTTTTAAGGATTTTATTTATTTAATTGACAGAGAGAGAGAGACAGCGAGAGAGGGAACACAAGCAGGGGGAGTGGGAGAGGGAGAAGCAGGCTTCCCGCGGAGCAGGGAGCCCGATGCGGGGCTCGATCCCAGGACCCTGGGACCATGACCTGAGCCAAAGGCAGTCGCTTAACCAACTGAGCCACTCAGGCGCCCCTACTCATTTCATTCTTATACAAACACAAGTGGGTGATATATTACTAGGATCTGGCCTTCAGGGTGCTTCCTTTCAACATTGCTGAGGTGGGAAAGACACTCCCTGAAACACAGACCATCATCTTGCTTCTTCCAGACCCACCACTACCTTTTCTAGGTGACCTCCAGGTCCGAAGCTTCAGAAACACGCAGGCTTCATTCTTTGCCAGGGAACATGGGGTACAAATGTAAATTGAGTCACATCTGGACACAGATATACCATGCCTTGCTGCTGTGCCCTCTGTGAGGTGCTATAGGGACCCTGATGACCAATCTAAGAACACCTCTGTCATGTTCTCAACGCACTCCTGCTAAACAGGACTCTAACAGCAAAGGTGAATTAACTGGTGATATATTCATTATCAAATGGTCCAGAGCAGTCTGAGGTCATGGTACCAGAGCTGGGTGATGACAGGAATGCATAAAAACTGTTAGGAGTGCCTGAAGAAGCTTAATGAAGGCATCATGGATGTCAAAAGCAGATTTCACAAGGCCCGTAAACAATGGGAAACTTACCCAGAAGCCCTCCAAAAACTATTCCATCAGGCCCCTTGCTTAGAACGGGAGTCATGTCCATGTCAAACTCAGTTATGGGTGAGCACCATGATACCACTTCAATGGATGCAGGGCCACCACCATCCCTCCAGGGGAAGGCAAGCGGGGAACAGGGACTGCCTATGCTGAGCAAGAGGAGGTGACCATCAAACACAGAAGGGCTTTTTCCACAGCACCCAGCAGTGCAACAAGTGGTCACAAAGTACAATGTGGCCCTATAGGCTTCCCCACACACAGGGCAGTCATGGAGTGAGTGTCTCCCCAGGTGAGGCTCTTCTATATGAGGTCCAACTTGTGACTGAAGGCTACTCGTGTAGGGTCTTTCTCAGTTATTAATTCTTTTATATTGAATGACGTTTTTTAAATAGTTTGATTATTTAAAATAAAATGTTAAAAAAAAGAAAAGAGCAGCTGAAGACTTTACCACATTCACTGCTTTCAAATGGATTTTTTCTAGTGAAGTTGTTGGTGTTGGCAGGGCAGGAGCTGAGGGCAACTGCTCTCCCATGCTGGCTGTACACACAGGAGCTTTCTCCAGTTTTAATATTTCTATGCAGAACATGGCAGGATCTGCAGCTTTTTAATCTCCCACTCACTATACTCACAATGCAGTAACTTGCTGCAAAATTGGATTAAATCTGTGACAGAAGGCTTTCCAACATCAGCTGTACTCATTATCCCTTTCTCCGCTGGAGACTGTGGGAAACAGGTTTAATATTTTCTTGAAAGTTACTGCATTTGTACAACTGTTCTCTGATATGAATCTTTTGGTGCTAACAAGAATGGAGCTCTGGAGCAGATGCCCACATTCTCTGCACTTGAGTCCTTTAGTGCAGAGGGAAGCAAAATTTTGCTCAAGGCTGGGCCATACTCCCTGCCTTTATAAAGGCTTTCTCAAGGAGAACATTCTGGTGCTCAAAAGGAATAGAGCTCTGGCTGGAGGCTTTCTCGTGTTACTACACTCACAATATTTGAAGATATGGATGTCCTCCTGCTTTCTCAGGATGAAGGCAAAGGTGATGACCTCCCCACCTTCCCAACGTACTTGGGATTTTTTTCCCATTCTGAAATGTTTTTGACTCTTCAATGTCAGTTCTCTGTGGGTTCTGCAAAATGTCGAGTTGGCAGGGCCTGGTGATAGGCAAGAGCTGTGCAGTGAGGGTGGTCCAGCCAGTGACACTGTGTCCACTTTCCTTTGAGGGAACAAGCAGTCTCATGGAGGAACAAATTTTCAAGAACTACTTAAAGATATGTATCAGCTCAGGACATGTTAAGGGGAGGCTACTGGTGAGGGACCTGGCCAGAAGAGGGGAGAAAGAGAAAGGCTGTACAGCAAAGGACACAGAGGGATCAGCCAGGGGACAAGAGTCAAGGGAAAGTAGAATGGAGTGGCAGAAAGGGGTCAGAATGATAGAAAAGAGGCATGGCTACTCACTCTGGCCCCAGGGGAACAGAGGGCATAGGTCAGGCACCCATGAGAGATCAGTCCTACAGGCCCTCCCATACCAGTTTTGTTTGCACTGACCAGGACTGGTCCTCCAGCGGCCTCTCTGGTCAAGATACGATTCAAGCTGCCCTGTTCAGGTCTCCCTGCCAAGTTCAACTTGGGTGACCACACTTAGGGTAGTACAGACAGTCATTCTTATGGGGGCTCAAGTGGTTTGTGACAGAGCAAGGTGGGTGAGGATCACCAATGCATCTGGAGAACTGAAGCTCACAAAATGAAGAACCAGGAAAGATCTCAGCTGAAAAGCTCATTGTCCGCAAAATCAATGACCAATGACCATGTTGGTGCTCATGTGCCATCACAGGGGCTGACAAGAAAACCTGCTGGAGGGGTTTTTTTCCTGACAGAAAAGCAACAGGTCCTGATGGGGTTTCTTGGCCAGAAAATAACCTAGCTGGATGTGATCTCCTATGCGGGTTGTGATATTTTTGACCCTTGACCATGATAAAAAGGTCCCAAGGCAAAAGGAGTTGGGGTTGCTAATGCAGCAGTCTGGGAGAAGAGGTGTCAAATATGGGCCAGCAGCAAATCCCACGGGGAACACACTGGCCTAACCCGGTGAGGACAGGACCATGCCTGTAGCTCCACCGTGCCTTATGAAGGAGCCGCACTTTTTCTAAAAGACATACGTATCCTTCTCCTTAAAGGTCAATGGGCTCTGCAATACCAGGCCAGGGAGCAGACGGCTGTGATCTAAGCACTGGGCATGGGACCTGGGGCCGCAGTCTGTCCTGCCAGCCACCTCCCCTTAGGTCTCCCAAACCCTGTCCCCTGACATGCCCGCTCACCCTCGGAGGGTGGGCCCTCCTCCTGGATGTGCACTCTCCCCAGATTCACTGGTCTTTGGACAGTGCTTCTCTTTTTCTGCACCAATCTCCTCCACCTAGCCACTGGGCCTTTGTCTGGACGCCCCACATTCACTTCAGGGCCATTCATCTGTAACCACAATTTAAGACTCTCCTTCCAAAATGCCATTCTCAGGCCCTTCCTTGGACTGCAGCCTGGACATCCGAAGCCAAACCAGAACTCCCTGTGTGTTCACAGGTACATGTGTCACCCCCACTCAGAGGTCTCCAGACAATTCGGACTCTACATCTACAAAATCTAACTGCGAATCTTCCCCAAAACACCCTTCTCCTGCCAACCTCCCATCTCAATGGGCAGTAGTCCCTGAGCCCTCCTAAACCCTTGGGATGATCCTTTATGCACCACTTACATTCACTCCTCACATGTAGCACGAAGTCCATCAACTCCATCTTGAAAATCTAACCGAAATCTGATCACTTCTCTCACGTCTTCTACGTGTGCTCTGGACAGGCCGCCACCATAACTGTCCCGATGAATACTGCAGCAGCATCCTCACGAGTCTCCCTGTTTTCAGCCTGGCCACAACCGCTCTCCCACCAGCGTGTTCACTCAGTCTGTTTACTGGGTATTTATTGGGATACTTTCAAAATCCTAAATCGGATCATGGACATCCCTCTTCTATCAAAAACTATGACTGCCAGGACCCGGGAACAGAGGCAGGACTCCTCTCACGCTCTTGGTTCCCCGCCATGGAAGACAAGAAACGTCCCGAGCGTTCTCAGGTCAGTCTCACCTCTGAGCCTTCGCACATGCAGCTCCCTCTGCCTGCCTCTCCATCTTAACGCACTGGGCTCTGGAAGGAAGACTCGGCGCCTGCGAACGCTCCGCTCTCCTGACCATCGAGGCCTGGAGCTCAGTCGGGGACTCAGGACACCGGGCCTCAGAGTCCTGTCGGGGGGCCCCCGATACGATTCTCCTGCCGTGACTAGTCGGTCCGCTCGCTCATCACGCCCACAGGGCCCGGGGAGCCTCCCGGACACAGTCCACAGGCCGGCAGCACGGGCCCCGGCCAATCCCGACAACACGGCAAACGGCCAAAGAAATGGCCGGATGCCGGAAGTGGCGACCGAAAGACCGCGGCCGTCCCGGAAACGCCCCTCCCCTAGCGCATCATTGGCCAGAGTCCAGCCGGCGCGCCCGGAAACGCCCCTCCCCTGGCGCTTCCCGGGATACGCCGAGCGCTCCCTCGGTGAGGGGCTTTCTGGGTAGTGTAGTTTGCGACGCGGCGGGCGCGAGTCCTGACCACCTAGGCGACGACCCAGTGGCACCGCGACTGGCTCAGGGGCCTCGAGTCGTGTGCGCTGCGGGCCTCGAGCCGCCGCTTGCTCAGTCTGGGCGTTTCTGCGTGAGCGGCAGAGGATGGGGCGGGACTTCCGCGTCGCCATTGCCCTCCTCACTTCGCGGTTGGTGGGTTGCTTGGCAGGTGGCCTCTGGGACCAGAGATGCGGGCAGGGAAGTGCCGGGACTGTCACCGCATCACCAAACGCACTTTCCCCCCTCCGCCAATGGCTCCTTCTTCCTGAGCCTCGGTTTCCCCAGATGTAGAACGGAAGTAACGAGCCACCACACACCGCCTTCGTCCCACGGCCCCGGGATGCGGCTCCCAGGTCCTTCGGTGCATTCCATACTGGGGAAGACTGAGGCCCTTAGTGTGACCGTCAGCCCGCGGTCACCCCGGGCAGTGCGGGTCTGAGGGTTTGGTTGAGCCCTCGTTGTTTGTCGCTGTCGCCGCCTCGCACGGTCCCGCCCAACCCACAGGCTGAGCAGGCCAGCAGCGTCGCTGATGGACCCGGGGCAGGTGAGTGGAGGGTGCCGCAGCCCCTCACCCGCTGGGGTCCCTGTCCTCCTGACCCTGGAGCCCTGTGCGGGACTCGTCACCTACACTCGGGTCTGGAGCCCAGAGAGTCACTTCTCCTAGCGTCCGGAACCCAGGCCGGAGGTTATATGGAGGGGTTCACTGTTAGCTGGCACCCTCCTCGGGAGCTCCCCTGGTGTAATCTGATACCGACCCCGTAGGTGGAGGGCAGGGAGAAAGCGAAGAGGCAGGTCTCTCCAGATTAGTAGGTGGCAGGTTTAATAAGCAAGGGCAGGTACACAGCAAGCTTGCCTCGGACAGCCGTGGAAGAGTAGACCCCACATCAGCCCACTGAATCTTAAGTTTATCCAGAGACCTTAACTTGGTTCAGTCACCTTCATCATCCAGGTGGTTTCAGCACCGCGTCACAATCTCAAGGCTGTGTCCCTGGGGGGAATTTCTGGGAGTGGGGAAGAATACACATTCTGAGGACTGGAGGTGATGACAAGCCTCCCGTTGCTCAGGTCCAGCTCATACATGGGTCAGCTGACAGTCACACCCTCGTGATGACCTCCCCCTAACATTCACATTTCTGGAATCCTAGGGGATAAGGTCTGGAAGGGTGTCCCAAGCACAGGGACCAGCATGTGCAAATTTCTTGGAGGTGAGTGTAAGATGAAAGTGTTCAGGGAACTGCAGGTCTGTATTTTGTCTGGGGGACATAGAGAGCAGGGGACAGATATTGGTCTCTCCTCAGAGAGCTGAGGAGCTGGGTCTCTATTCTGAGTGTGGTGGGAGTGTGGAAAGTTTAGAGCAGAGAAGGGAGGTGATCTGACTTATGTCTTTTTTTTTTAATTAATTTATTTATTTTCTAAAAGATTTTATTTATTTATTTGACAGAGAGAGACACAGCGAGAGAGTGACTCAGGTCTTAATAAACTCCCTCTGGATGCCGAGTGGAGAACAGATTTGGTCAGGGGGCGGTAGAGGTGAGGTTGGAGGCAGGAAGGCCACTCAGTGGAGTGACTGGAATAGTTCAGGTGCATGTGCTTTTGGACCAAAGGTGGAAGTAGGAGAAATTGTTGGCTCTTGAACTTTTTAACTAGGGTGGACTAGATTTCCTGATATGAAGCAGTGAGATATGAGGGTTGGACTCAGATAGGTTTTTTAGATGTGGAAGTTAGAGTGAGTAGATATCAGGGGGAAGGTAAAGATTTGGGTTTTGGCCATATTTTATTTGGTGTATCCTACAGACTGCCAAATTGAGGTACCAAGTATGCTTTATATCAAGTCCAGGCTGGAGACATCCAAGGGATGAAGACTTGTGTGTGGACATTATGTGTGGCTGTGGGTTGACCAGAATGGTGATCAAGCCTCTGACCAGAGACTAGACCTGGAATGAAAAAATGAAGCATGAAAGTAACAGAGGTAGAATGACAGTGGGGCCTGAAGTGAGACCGGTTTACCTCTCTATAGCTCACCAGGTTTTTGTGGCCATCCTCCTTGGGGACTGGGGTGGGGGAGGGAGTGGGTGTCAGGCTGGAGAATAATCAGGGTTAGAAAGGGTCAGTCTAAGCTAAGAGTCCCCAAGCCAACGGTGGGGGGCAGTAGATCTGGGATTTGTCTAGTAGGAAGAGGAAGAACAGCTATGACTGGTGAGGGGATGGCATGTATAGGGACAGAGGTGGAAGAGAGCAGTGGTGTTTAAGATCTACTCATGGTTCTGGAGAACTGAAGGCTGAAGCAGCAAGGCTAGGAGGGGAGGCATTAACTAGAAGTGAAGGTTGTTTCTGGCAGTTGTGGCTTTTGGAGATGGGAGCAAGCCAGGCTCAGTGTTGGATCCTGGTTGCCTTTGTTGGGTAGGCCATGTGCATAGTGGGTTATAGAGACTAGGGAGATGCCTGTGGTGTGGACAGGGAGAGGGGTGGGGACTGGGGGGGTAGATATGATGATGGTATAGTCCAAAGAGTGACATGTACAAGGTAAGGGAATGTGAACCAGTGTGCTCAGGGCCCTGGTACTAGAGGCTTAAGGGAGAAAAGAGAGTCTGAATTTTTTTATACTTGGGAGGTGTGATCTGGAGAGGCAAGAAACACAACACAAGAGAGCTTGTTTAGTGTGGGGAGGGGTTCCTGGCCAGCCCAGAGCTCAGACAGCATCTGTCTGCCCACCTGCTTTTTGTTCCTCTGGATTGTGTTGGCCTGGATACAGTGACCAGTGGGGCTACAAGGAGAGAGGGACCCCAGTGGTGCCAGGGCCTCTTATCTCCTCTGAGATGGGGGCCTGAGGAGGAGGAGGAGCTGCAGGTGAGTGAGGGAAGGATGGACTGAGGGGGTCACAAGAAGAGGGTGCCAGTGGTAGGTGTAGCAGAACTCTGAGCCATACATCAAGGGCCTGGATGACTCCATTTAACTATTTTGTTTGTTTGTTTTTCAGCCCATCTGTTGGCCCCCTGGCTTAGCTGTCTCGTCATCACAGAGCCCAGTGACCTTTGAAGATGTGGCTGTGTATTTTTCCAAGGAGGAGTGGGGGCTTCTTGATGCAAGCCAGAGGCACCTGTACCACAATGTGATGCTGGAGAATTTTGAGCTCATGACCTCACTTGGTAAGGCCTTTCTGCCCCACCCCAGCATGGTGACCAGCTTCTGCCCTTTTGCCTTCTTCCCATAGAAAGTTTTCTGTTCATCCCAAAGCTGAACCCCAGGCACTGGTTCTTACCAGGTTTCCTGTTATAGGTGTTATGGGTGCTGGGACTGGGCTGTGTGCATTCTCCATGTCTCTCAACAGCCTCATGAATAGTCCCAATAGCTGTTGCCCAGGGGCCTTGTGGGAGCAGAGATTGGGGATCAGGCACCTATCATCTGCCTGACGGATCCCACTAAGCTTGACCAGTTCATGGCTGGGTGACCCATTATGGGGCCATGCCTAGATTCTGTCCCTTCTCCCATGAGACTTTTTTTAAAAAAATAATTTTATTGAGTATACCACAAAGTTCATACTTTAAAGTGTATAATTCAGTGATTTTTAGTGTATTTGCACAGTTGTATAAATATTACCATAATCTAATTTTATTATTATTATTATTTTTTAAAGATTTTATTTATTTATTTGACAGAGAGAGACATAGCGAGAGAGGGAACACAAGTAGGGGGAGTGGGAGAGGGAGAAGTAGGCCTCCCGCAGAGCAGGGAGTCCAATGCAGGGCTCAATCCCAGGACCCTGGGATCATGACCTGAGCCGAAGGCAGATGCTTAATGACTAAGCCACCCAGGCGCCCCAGCATAATCTATTTTAGAACATTTTTATCACCTAAAGAGAAACTGTACCCATTAACAGTCACTCCCCATCCTCCCTCATCCCTTCTCCCTTAGCCTTAGGCAATTGCTAATATACTTTATGACTATGTATATTTGCTTATTTAGACATTTCATATAAATGGAATGACACAGTATATGTTTTTCTGTGAATAGCTTTCATTTAGCATCATATATTTGAGGTTTATCCATGTTGTAGCACATATCAGGACTTCATTCATTTTTACGGCCAGATAATATTCTATTGTGTAGATATACCACAGTTTGTTTATTCATTCATGGGTTGATTGGGCATTTGTCTTGTTTCCACTTTTTGGGTGTTATGAAAAATGTTGCTATGAATATTCAAGTACAGGTTTTTGCATAAGTATGTTTTCATTTCTTTTGGGTAAATAAATAGAAACGGAATTGCCAAACTGTTTTCCAGATTGGCAGCACCATTCTGTATTTCCACAGCAGTGTATGAGTATTCTAATTTTTCTACTTCCCTACCAACACTTACTATTGTCTGTTTTCCCATAGATACCCTAGTGGGTGTGAAGTGGTATCTCACCGTAGTTTTGATTTGCATTTCTTTAATGACTGATGATGTTGAGCAACTTTTCATGGGCGTATTGGTGCGCGCACGCACACACACACACACACCTCCTTGTCCTTCTCTTTGTCCTTGCCCTTAGTAAGGCCTCCTTTATTCTGTAGCTTGGCTAGGCCCTGTCCTGCACAGTAGGCTCTTCACTCTTATTCTGGGCCCTTGGCCTGTCACCATCCCTTGGACCCATTCCTGTATATGTCAACCACACATTTCTAATGAAGTCACCCTTTCCACCAAGTAGAACACTCAGTTTGCCAGAAACTTCTCTGCTTTCAGGTTGTTGGCATGGAGTGGAAGATGAGGGGGCCCATTCCAAGCAGAATACTTCTGTAGAAGGGATGTCACAGGTCAGGATCCCCAGTGCAAACCCTTCCACCCAGAAGGCTGACACCTGTGCTATGTGTGGCCCATTCTTGAAAGACATTTTGCACCTGAATGAACATCAGAGAATATATCCTGAGGAGACCCTCTACACATGTGGAACATATGGAAGAGAATTTTGGTTCAGTGCAAACCTTCGCCAGCACCAGAAGGAGCTCAGTGGAGAAAAGCCCTTCAGATGGGACAAGGACGAGGATTCATTTGTGGAAAATCTTACAGTCTGCCTGTCAGAGAAGCTCTTCACTTGTGGGGAAGGTGGTAAGGATGCCTTGGACAGCCATGACCTCTTCCAGCACCCAGCCATTGACAGCAGCAGGAAGCCACAAAGGAGCACAGAGTGCAGGGAGACCTTTTCACACAGCTCTAATCTTGAGCAGCTCACAAAAGTCCATACCACACAGAAGCTATTTAAGTGCAGCAACTGTGGAAAAGCCTTTCAGAAGACCTCCAGCCTCCTCAACCACCTGAGAACTCACTCTAAAGAGACACCCTTTAGATGCCCAACAGTTGGAAATTCCTTAGAGGAGAAATCAACCCTTGTTAATCTCCAAAGATGTTATGATCAAGAAACATGCCATGTGTGTAAAGCATGTGGGAAGACCTTCACTCACCCTTCTAAACTGAGGAAGCACCAGAAATTTCACACTGGAGTAAAACATTATGAGTGCAGTGATTGTCGGAAAACCTTCAACCACAAACTCACACTTGTTCATCACCAGAGAATTCACACAGGAGAAAGGCCTTATGAGTGCAGTGAATGCGGGAAAGCCTTTAATAACAGGTCACACCTCACTCGGCATGAGAAAGTTCATACTGGAGAAAGACCTTTTGAGTGCAGCAAATGTGGAAGAGCCTTCAGCCAAAGCTCCAATTTCCTTCGGCACCAGAAAGTTCACACTCAAGTGAGACCTTATGAGTGCAATCAATGTGGTAAAGCCTTCAGCCGCAGCTCTGCCCTCATTCAGCACTGGAGAGTTCACACTGGAGAAAGGCCTTATGAGTGCGGTAAGTGTGGAAGAGCTTTTAACAATAACTCCAACCTTGCTCAGCACCAGAAAGTTCACACTGGAGAACGGCCTTTTGAATGCAGTGAATGTGGAAGAGACTTCAGCCAAAGCTCCCACCTCCTTCGACATCAGAAAGTTCACACTGGAGAACGGCCTTTTGAGTGCACCGAATGTGGGAAAGCCTTCAGCAATAGCTCCACCCTCATTCAGCACCAGAAAGTACATACTGGGCAAAGGCCTTATGAATGCAGTGAATGTAGAAAGGCCTTCAGCCGCAGCTCCAGCCTGATTCAGCACTGGAGAATTCATACTGGGGAAAGGCCTTATGAGTGCAGTGAATGTGGGAAAGCCTTTGCACACAGTTCCAGTCTCAGTGAGCACTGGAGAGTTCACACAAGAGAAAGGCCTTATGAGTGCAGTGAATGCGGGAAATTCTTTAGCCAGAACTCCATTCTCATTAAACATCAGAAGGTTCACACTGGAGAAAGACCTTATGAGTGCAGCGAATGTGGGAAATTCTTTAGCCGAAAGTCCAGCCTTGTTTATCACTGGAGAGTTCACACTGGAGAAAGGCCTTATGAATGCAGTGAATGTGGGAGAGCCTTTAGCAATAACTCTCACCTGGTTCGTCACCAGAGAGTTCACACACAAGAAAGGCCCTATGAGTGCAGCCAATGTGGGAAAGCCTTTAGTGAAAGATCTACGCTTGTTCGACACCAGATAGTTCACACCAGAGAAAGGACTTACGAGTGTGACCACTGTGGGAAAATCTTCAGCCGCCTCTGCAATCTTTCTCAGCATAAAAGGATTCATACCTGAATGTAGCCTTATAGAGATGGTCCTTCTGAGATCTTCACCCAAGTCAAACTTCATGCAGAATACCCACAGAGAAGTTACCTGGATGTACCACTAGTGTGGAGAAGGCTTCAGAAGGTGGTCTGCCCTTTCTGAGCAGCCCAGGGCTGAGCTCTCTCCCCTCTGGAGCATAAAGCCCTTTCCAGCCTGCCTGGATCCAAATATTTTCAGCAGTCATCTACATATGTAGGGAGAAAACAGCTCCCTGTGCCTCCCTTCCCCTTTCCTGGAGGGAAACAGGATTGTCCTGGGCCCACTAGAATGGCTTAATTCCCATTGCCTCTAAAGTGGTTAGGAAGTGAACTAACCCCATGCTGGTCAAGGGGCCTTGAGGGATGTCCAGTTTGGGCTTCTCAGATACACATTCCTCATAGATGTTGTCTTGTCTGCATGTAACCCCAATTATGTATCCAGTGAGCTCACACATCACCCTCCCCTGGAACCACTTATCTTGGTATTCTCTATTCTGCATGATAATAAAGACCTTAGTAATCAAGCTTTTTTTTTTTTTTTTTTTAGAGAGGGATGGAAGGGGCAGAAGGAGAGAGAGAATCCTAAGCAGGCTCCATGCCCAGCGTGGAGCCTGACCCAGGGCTCAGGATCACAACCCTGAGATCATGACCTGAGCTGAAATCCAGAGTCAGATGCTTAACTAAGTGAGCTACCCAGGTGCACTGATCAAGACACCTTTATTTATTTATTTTAGATTTTATTTATCTGACACAGAGAGAGAGCACAAGCAGGGGGCGCGGCAGGCAGAGGGAGAGGGAGAGGGAGAAGCAGGCTCCCTGCTGAACAGAGAGCCTAACGTGGGGCTGGATCACAGGACCCTGCGATCATGACCTGAGCTGAAGGCAGATGCTTAACCAACTGAGCCACCCAGGCATCCCTCATGTCACCTTTAATCTTGGGGGTTTTGGTGGGGTAGGTTGAAAAAAGAAGTGGGTAGAGTGAGGGATGGCTGAGACAGGGCACCTAACATCTACCTCGGGGTATAGAAAGAACATAGGGTTAGGGTTTGCAGTGCACCTGAAGGACTGGGAAGAACTGAAGGGCTCATAAAGTGAACATAGTGGCCTGTGTTTCAGAGTTATCTGAAGGCCCAGAGCTCACCCTGAAGAAGGAGGATGCTAGTCTGCAACATGAATGGTCTGTTGAATTAGGAGGCAGGTCCCTAGTTCCCAGAGAGATGTCTGGGTTTCCTCATCTGAGGAGCTGTCTTCTGGTTCCTAATAAGGAGATAAGACCCTAGGAGGCGGGTAGAGGCCCAGTGGATAGAGAAACAATGGGTGTGAGGTAAGAGGGAGTTGGGAGGAAATTATAGCACTGCCATTAGGGACAGACAAAGGAGCACCACAGTTCTCCATTAGCTGAGGAGGTAAGGCAGGGTAAGGCAAGTAAACTTAATCTGAGATCTACAGGGGCCATCTGGGAGCCAGAAACACTGGGTTTGGAGCAGACTGGTAAACTAAAGGGAACTTGGCTATTCTAAAGGTACATCAAAAACTTTCAGATTGGGGTGCCTGGCTGGCTCAGTTGGTAGAGCATGCAACTCTTGATCTTGAGGTTGTGAGATTGAGCCCCAAGTTGGATGCAGAGATTACTTAAAAATAAAATCTTTATAAAGAAAAAAAACTTTCCAGGTGACTCTGACCTAGTGAGATAAGAGTGAAGAACTCAAGACCTGCAGACCTGAATATCACTCATAATGGAAATCCAAACAAATGTTTTATGAATTCCTGTATTCTCCCTGAGCTGTTCACCTCATGGCTGTCACCACACAGGAACCTCATCATCAAGAGGATGGAGCTCATGGTCAGGAGAATAGTTTATGTGAGTAGCCAGAGTTTTAGAGAATTGCATAGCCATGGCATTCATTACTCCACTTCTGGTAGCCACCAAGGAAGTCTGTCCTTTTTAAAGGGTGGGAAGACAACATGGTGGAGTTAATATGGGTTTCCCGGATTTCTTGGCTTTCTGGGAAGAGCCAGATATTCAGATTTTTATGTGGCTTTTGATTTTATGTTAGAAGCCGTTTCAAAAAATATTTTGTACAGTACAAAAGCAGTTTGCCAAAACCTGTGGGTGGGCCATATATGTTCCCCTGGGCCCTTCCATGAGACCTGTGGGAAGAAAGACCAAGAGTTTTCTGACATGAGAGGCTTTGGTGTGCAGTGTCCATCCATACTGCATGGTGGGTGGGAAGGCAGTGCTACTGCCACCTCTTCTCAGGGTGACTTTTCTCAAAAGCCCAGCAGAGACAAGGAATGATAGCCACATTAGAGGTGGAACCCAAGATGGGCTTGCAGTAATCAAAGATTACAGCAGGGCTGCTCAAGTACTCCCTAGCACAATGAGATGTTTGGGAGAATCCCCCACCCTGCTCAGGCCTCCCTTCCTGGATGTAATGTCTTTTACCAACATGGAGGACTCATGTGGGATCAGATTTAAAGGCCAACTGAGCCACGTGAGGATCAAGCCTTCTAAGCAAATGGGGTAGGATAGACACTGGTCATCACAGCTCAAGTCTTTGTACAGTATGGATGGCTGGTTAGATCTCATTAAATGGCCCCCAGCTCATGGTTGAAGAATCTTCTGTGCTTTCCTTGAATAGGCATGGTCTTCCACTGGGGCTCAGTACACAGCAACAAGTCTGTTGGGGAAGGAAGATGTTTAGCAGCGATGCCAGAACACTCCAGGCAAAGGTCTCAGGACTCTGACCTTTGAGCTGTTCTGAATACCAGCCTTTGTGGGGCTCAGTAGTTCCAACACTTTCAGCTCACTCAATGTAGCAGGCCGGTGCCTCCAGGTTTTTGATGCAGTCTTTATACTGACACTGACCATTCTGCCCTCACTAATGATAGTTCTCTGAGCTCCATCCAACAGTAGTTCCCTGCACTTGGACCTTGGCCTGTGACCTCCCCCATGAGGGACACTCTCCACTGTCTTCTCAACCTTTCCCCACTTTGCCACTCCTCCAATTCTGCTGCATTTTTCTCTCCAAGTTGGTGTCAGTTTCTCTCTTCTCTTTGATGCCTGAACCTTTGGCCTGATGCCAGGCCTCTGCTATACACACACACACACACAGCCAATAAGCACATGAAAAGTTGCTCAATATCATCGGTCATTAAAGAAATGCAAATCAAAACTACAGTGAGAGGGGCGCCTGGGTGGCTCAGTCGTTAAGCGTCTGCCTTCGGCTTAGGTCATGCTCCCAGGGTCCTGGGATCGAGGCCCGCATCGGGCTCCCTGCTCAGCAGGAAGCCTGCTTCTCCCTCTCCCACTCCCCCTGCTTGTGTTCCCTCTCTCACTGTGTCTCTGTCAAATAAATAAAAAATCTTTAAAAAAAAAAAAAAACTACAGTGAGATACCACTTCACACCCACTAGGGTATCTATGGGAAAACAGAAATAGTAAGTGTTGATAAGGAAGTAGAAAAATTGGAATACTCATACACTGCTGTGGAAATATAAAATGGTGCTGCCAATCTGGAAAACAGTTTGGCAATTCCATTTCTATTTATCTACCCAAAAGAAATGAAGACATACTTACACAAAAACCTGTACTTGAATATTCAAGCAACGTTTTTCATAACACCCAAAAAGTGGAAACAAGACAAATGCCCAGGGGCGCCTGGGTGGCTCAGTCATTAAGCGTCTGCCTTTGGCTCAGGTCATGATCCCAGGGTCCTGGGATCGAGCCCTGCATCAGGCTCTCTGCTCTGCGGGAGGCCTGCTTCTCCCTCTCCCACTCCCCCTGCTTGTGTTTCCTTTCTCAGTGTGTCTCTCTCTGTCAAATAAATAAATAAAATCTTAAAAAAAAAAAGACAAATGCCCAACCAACTGATGAATGAATAAACAAACTGTGGTATATCTACACAATAGAATATTATTTGGCCATAAAAAGGAATGAAGTCCTGATATGTGCTACAACAAAGATGAACCTCAAAAAATATATTACGCTAAGTGAAAGCCATTCACAGAAAAACACATACTGTGTGATTCTATTTATATGAAATGTCTAAATAAGCAAATATACATAGTCAGACACTTAACTGACTGAGCCACCAAGGCACACAAGTTCCCTGACTTTTTAAGCCTGCCCAGGTTTCTACCCTGTGTGGTCGTCACCTCTCCCACCATTGGCGGGGGGAGGGTGGCGGATCAGGGAGAAGAACCAGTTACAGAAGGCAGCAGTGGTTTCCAACCCCAACACATGATACTGGCTGAGCACTGTGGTTCAAAACCCCTCAAGTCTAGGGTCACAGTTCTCTCTCTAAACATGCCTCCAAGTTCTCTTCTTGACAGGAAGCATAATTTTTGGACCAGGGACACATCTACAAACAACACACAAGTTTTGCTGAACTGGTATCTTATTGAACTTTTGGGAAATTAGTTTCCAAAATTTGTAAAATCAAAAGACCCCAAAAAACAAAGGATACGAATACATATGTTCATTCAGCCACTTCTCTCCCTTGGCAGCAAAAACAATGAAGGCCATGGTGTGCACAGATGCCAGGGGCCCTGGCCACATCCCAGGACTGCAGGGTCTTCATTTTGGGACCAGGGTAGTGGCCATGAGATGAACATCCTGCTATCCCCAGTAAGGCAACGAAAGTCAGGGACCCCTCCCCACAGAAGCCAGTCCCTCTCTTCAGGAGCCCAGTTTTGTTCTCAATCCCTCCACACACAGTGATCAGAATGCCCAATATTAAAAGTGGCTTAAACAATAAAGCTTTTATTACCATACATTCCAGGGATGTGTGAGACATTCAGTTCCAGGGGTGGATAAATCCATGACAGGTACCATGTGTAGTGTCAACCGTGTCCATGGAAATGATTAACTTTCTCTGGAAGCCCCCAGTAGACACAGCTCAGCTACTCTTGACCAGAGCCTGGTCACAGACATACGTAAACCAGTTGGAGGGGGGGAAATGAGGCCCATTCTGGGTTTACCACTCATAATTCTTTCCTGTACAGAGTGGGGACTAAGGAGGTCTGCTGTTCCAGAGCACGTTGAGATGACTGATGCACATCTTGAGCACCTGCCAGGTGGTAGAAGTGGGATGGCTTCTATCACAGAAACCAGCAGTGACTTAACACTGCCAACAACCTCGGCAGGTTGGAGTGCAACCTAGCTCCTGAAAGCTTCCTACACACCTGCCACCCCAGGGCACATGTTGGGGTATGCTAGGTTTAGCTTTCAAATGGCTACTCTCCTCAATCTCCTTTCTGGAGTGAGGGCTTTCATGTTGAAAAAGGTCCCCAGCCCTGGCTACAGGCTTTCCAACATTCCGTCTTCTTATGGCCTTTCTCCAGTGTGGACTTTCTTGTGCTGAAGGAGGGTAGAACTGTGTTTGAAGGCTTTCCCACATTCTGTACATTCATAGGATCTCTCTTCAGTGTGGAACTGCTGGTGCCGATTGCGGTAGGACCTGGTGGTGAAGGTCTTCCCACACAGGCTGCACTCATAGGGCCGTTCTCCAGTGTGAACTTTCCAGTGCTGATACAGGCCAGAGCGGGTCACATAAGTTTTCCCACATTGCTTGCACTCATAAGGCCTTTCTCCAGTGTGAACTCTCTGGTGAAGAATGAAGCTATGGTTGTATTTAAAGAACTTCCCACATTGCCTGCACTCATAGGGCCTTTCTCCAATGTGAACTTTCCGGTGCCGAATGAGAGTAGACAGAACGCTGAAGGCTTTCCCACATTCACTGCACTCATAAGGCCTTTCTCCAGTGTGAATTCTCTGGTGCAGAACGAGTGCATCTTTACGGTTGAAGGTTTTGCCACACTCATCACACTTGAAAGGTTTTATGCCCGTGTGAACCTTCTGGTGCTTCCTCAGTTTAGATGGATAACTGAAGACCTTTCCACACTCATTACACACATGGGATGTTTCTCCAGTGTGAATTTTCTGGTAATTAACATGGGTGGATTTGTCCTTGGGGGCATTTCCACCTTTCAGGCATCTAAAGGGTCTCTCTTTGGGGTGAGTTATCAGATGGTCGAGGAGTGCAAAAGCCTTCAGGAAGGCTCTCCCACAGTCACTGCACTTGAAGGCCTTCTGTGTGGTGTGGAGGCCCTGCTGCTGCTGGCAATTGGAGCTGGGTTGGAAGGCCTCCCCAGGCTTGATGCTCTTGTGTAGCTTCTCCTTGCTGTGGGTGGCCTGGTGCTGGAGGAGGCCTAAGGTGGTAGGGACATCCTTTCCAGACTCCCCACACAGAAGGGGCTTCTCTGATAGGTAGACTTTGTAGCTCTTGATCTGCTCTGGAGAGGCTTCCTCATCCTCCAGTCTACATGGACAACCTGAAACAGAGAAAAGCCAGTTACTGAGAGCTGGATTAGAGGGAGGAGGCACCTTCATCACAAACACATGTCAGACATACCAAAAAGGAGTCCACAGAATTGCCAGGAGGTTCCTAGGAAAAGTCTGGGTGAGAAAGGGCCGGCCCAGCAGAACAGGGCTCTGCCAGATCACAGAAGAGCAAAGACCTCAGCGGGGGCGAGGACACACGATGGGAGCAATGCAGGGAGAAGAGGTGGGGTGTCCAAGTCACTCCTTGCAATGGTTTCAAGCAGGGCCTCAGCCACTGGTGACAGGAAGCACTGTGAAGAGGATGTGTTTGCTCCAATGAAAAGGCAACTATAACAGAGTGGCTGGTGTTCAGGTATTATCTAAGGGTATGTACACATCTCAAGTCACCAGTGGACAGCGCTACACTGGCAGAGGCCAGGGACACATAGGTCCTGAGAGTCATGGGAGGGATGGGAAGATCACACAGTGTGTTCAGAAGGGAGAGGAAATGTGGGAATAGTGTGTGGTCACTGGCCTCAGCACCAAAATGCCAGTGCACAGACACCCAGCATGCTGTGAGCTCATCAGTGAAACCAAGTCATCGCCTAGCCCTACTCACCAGGACCAGGACCCCTCCTGGCCTCTGCTCTGCTGCCCAGTGTCAAGTCCACCATGCTGGGCACCCAGAGCTCTTCTTCACTCTCCAGTTGGGCAACCACATGGGACCTTGAAGGTGCAAATCCTAGGAGAGAGAAAGGTAATAAGAGGCCAGCCCAAGCCAAGGCTTGCCCACCTCCCCCCCACCAGGAAGCTCATGTCATCATGCCAACCACGAAGGAAACAGAGTATTAAAAAACAAACCTCCTCCGCACATTTAAAAATTTGTTAAGCAGGTAGACCCCATGTTGTGTTTCACTACAATTTATCTTGAAAGAAACTTGCATGGGGGCGCCTGGGTGGCTCAGTCGGTTAAGCAGCTGCCTTCGGCTCAGGTCATGATCCCAGGGTCCTGGGATCGAGCCCCACATCGGGCTCCTTGCTCTGCGGGAAGCCTGCTTCTCCCTCTCCCACTCCCCCTGCTTGTGTTCCTGCTCTCGCTGTGTCTCTCTGTCAAATAAATAAATAAAATCTTTAAAAAAAAAAAAAAAGAAACTTGCATGAAGGTAAACTGACATAAATGAAGTAAAAAGATAGACAATAATAGTTGGAGATTTCAACTGCTAACTTTCAAGAATGCACAGAACCACTAGGCAGAAAACAAACAAGCACACAGCACTTGACTAACACTAGAAATCAACTAGACTTAACAGACATCTATACAGCCTGCCGCATAACAACAGCAGAATATGTATTCTCACGTTCTCACGTGCACATGGAATATTCCCCAGAGCAGACCATTTGCTAGGACATAAAAGAGGTCTCAATATATTTCAGAGGACTGAAATAACACAAAGTATATTCTCTGACCACAAAGGAATTAAAATAGAAATCAACAACAGAAAGAAATTTGGGAAACTCACAAATTTACGGAATTTAAATAAAACACTTC